CCCTCAGATCCCTCTAGCAGTGATAAGGCATTAAGCTCCTTTGCTACCACTCTTCTTGCTGTGCTGGCCTGTTGTCCTTGTTTCCTGCAACTGCTACCTTGAGTGCAATGGCTTGAGTTTTGAGGGGGTCTCATTAGGAGTGCTAATTTAAATATTTTGAGATTTTTTTGGGTGCTCCTGAGTGATACTTGTACACTTCAGTTAAATAGATATCTTGGTGGATATGTGTGTGTGTTTATTTTTTTGTATCATTAAATAAGAAAATAACTTTTTGTTGATGCAGGACACGTTGGAATTTAATATAGTGGCATCTTTTGTTACATGTTGGGACATGTAACTGAGAATGCAAGTGTACATGTAGCTGAAACTCAGAAGGTATTTTTCCTTCTGTCTCTTCTTTCCTCCTTCCTTGTCCAGAGCAAACATATATTATTTCTCAAATGCTTTTAAATACCCTTAAAGAGGGTATTTAAACTTCCGGTCACTAGTCCAAAGAGCTCTGTAAGTTTTCTAGGATGAATGTGTATGCAACCTATATATTGTTTTGGTTTATGCCAATGATCTGCCCCCAGTCTAAAGACAAACTGCACAGTGGTAGAGAAAGGAGCTTGAAGCCTAGGTATATAGTGAAATATAACTTTGCATGTAATATAGCACAAAAAATAGTCCATTAAAACTGTGTCTCTTCACTAAATCTTATTTGTGGCTGTGGGGAAAGGGCAGGGGGTGGTGGTGAAGATACTGGTTACGTCTGATGTGAAATGATCGCATCGGATAAAGCTGTTAAAAAATGTCTTGCAGATCAGGAGGGGAAGGGGAGAAGTGTACCGAGTTAGCCTCTTTAGCCTTTCCTTGGCAGTACGAAGCTGATGAGCAGCTCATCCTTGTGCTTCTAGTATAGCCGTTTGATTTGTGATAGTGGGCTCTCTGAGGATTGTTGGTGGCAATCCTCCGTGGATAATCTGTCCTGAGTCTGGCTGAGCTGATCTTCGGGTGAATTTGTAAGGGAGTTTGCTGTCTTTCACTAGGGGCTGTTCTCTCCGCAGGGTGGTTTGAGACCCTCTTTAATATCAGTACAGAATACAGGGACAGGAGGGATTTAGATAAGTTAAAGAACATCCCTAGAAGACAGAGACTGACTGAGTGTGTCCCACAGCTAGCATCTGCATATCAGCGCAATGCTCTTGTAGTGTTTCATTTTGATAGTGTTTTTTCCTAGTTCAGAACTGGAAAAGGCTTGCAGCGACAATATAAAAATCTGATCTCTCTGCAAACTGCACAATTTTTGACTATGTAGACATAATGTCTAGATGAGCTGAGCTCTAAAAAGTGTGTAAAAAGGTATTGGGGAGGAGGGAGAAAGGCTCCATCAGAAGACACCCATCTGTGGAGACTGACTTAAAGTGTTTGGGGCAGGGGTCCAGAGCTGAAACTTACCTTTTTGCTAGTGACTGTGCACAGGTGGGGAGCGTGTGTTAGAAAGGCTCTCCAGCGTGGCTTCCTGATGCAAACCTGCATGGAAGCATTAGCTGTGAGAAGGGGTTTATGAGCACTTCCAAACAGCAGTTGTTTTTTAAGGTTGATTCTGTTGACAATATCCTGAAGAGACATCACTAATAGGTGCAGTGTGACACATTTTATGTGGGTAAAATTATGGGCTAGGCATAACTGCCTTTGCCTAGCACTATTAACCCAACAGTTGTTAAATCCCAGGAAATGCTCATTTTCAGGGTGGTGATTGCTTTTATGACCTAAAAATAAAAACTGGAAGGCGTATGTATTGTTGGCTTTCTTTTCTTTACTCTCGGTGGGCATATGCAGGGCATTTCCTGCGAATGAGTGCCCTGTACTTAGTTATTCATATTCTGTCACTTTTCAACATCCTGTTCATCTTTCATGATTTGAAACAATTATCCTGAAATGGTGTGTGTGCGTGTGTGAGAGAGAGAGACCGCCGAGAAGTTGCAGTACAGAACACAGGATTCCTTTCCCCCATTATTTTTATCCTGTGAAGTGAGAACAGAAGGAGGATGGCAGAAGCATTTCTGAACAGCTCCTGTGCAAAGCTTCCCAAAGGCCTTGAACGCTCTCTAACCTGCGCTTTCTTGTCTGTTCCCCCCTTGTTTGGTTGAAGCATTTGTAACGTGGAAAACCTAAAACCCAAGTGCTTGTAACAGTGGTGTCTGCTCTGGGATCGGCCAGCGTTCACCTGCATCCCTTCATACATATCAGGGTTTCTCCTTTGCATATATTGCAACTTTTTTTTTTGGTCCAGGTTAGTACTTCCTTTTCAAGTGGTGTGCTGTAGCATGAAACTCCAGGGGCATATGGCATTGTTAGTATTAGAAATTAAGGAAACAGTACAGAATATTCAAAATTGATCTGTTTTTCTCCCCAAATATTTTCTTTCTGCTCCACTGATAGGAGGCCAGAGGGGACTTCCTCTGCCTGTTTCTTTATGTATGAACTGAGGGTTTGGATTCTAGGTGAGTGTGGGTTGGGTTTTTAGTGGATTTTTGTTTGGTTGGTTTTGTTTTTTTTTTTAAGGTAATTTGAAGACCAGCTTAACCCTTGTGACTCTCTGTTTTAATCTCTGGTAGAGAGGAAGGAAGACGGGTTTTCAGTGGCCACCATATCCTGGAGACAGTATATTGTTCCATTTAATCTATGACGATTGCATCTTCCCACCTCCTCCCCGCTTTCCCCCAATATTTTGTGGAACAGACACTTCTTGATTTTAGTTTTTCATCTGTATTTATCCCTTATTGTGAAGCTAGAGATTTTAACTAGCATAGCTTAGTCATCAACTAACACATTGCAAAAAGGCTCTCTGACTTTTGATGTGACAAACAACTTGCTGTGTGTGAGATTGGGAAGAAGATTCCCCCCCATAACCTTGTGCTCCCTGGCCGATTCCCCTCCAGCTCTGTTACCTTAACAGCCAGTTGTGTTTACGGGTAGAGCTTAGCTTAGCATCTTGGGGAGTGCTTGGGTCAAACTAGCTGGTGATCATTTGTCTCACCTAACCTTGGAGTGGCAGGTTGGAACCCAGCATTACCTGCGGGTGCTATTTCCTCTCTGACTGTAGTAGGGATCAGGCTCTGACCGTACGCTCCTTAAACAGCAGTTTCAGTGAGGCAAGCTGGGTTCGCATGGGATGTATAGATTGAGGTACTTCTTTACAAGGATGGGTCCTTCAGATGAAAATGAAGACATGGCTGGGGGAATGGGTGTTGCCAATGTCCTTACTGTGGCTGTTCAACCAAATTGGCATTATAGCTGGTCTACCATCTCACTTGATGAAATCCTCTCTTCTCTTTGCCTTTCCAACAGGAGGGGCTCTGCAGTTTGTGACAGAAAGCAGTCTTCTCTAGTTCAGCAAATCTGTTCTAAGAGTCCCAAGAAGAGACAGCTATTTATAATGGGCATCAGAGCTGTTGATATGTAACTTTTGGGGCGGGGACTCGCCTCTGTGTTGGTAAAGTGGCAGTTTTATGGCAGCAGGAGCCTGGGATGAACCCATAAATACGAAATACTCATCTGAAAAACAACTTGCTACAGAAAATCTCCTGTTTGAGAGGTATGTCTCTTGAAGATAGGCCTGTTGCAGAATAGGTTGTTTTTTGTTTTAAATGATTCACAGGAAACACCTAGATTCTTCGGAACAACTTGGGTGGGTTTTTTGTTTGTTTGTTTTAACTAAAACCAGGCTGCCCTGCATGAAGTGTGAGGCAGCACAGGGAGGTGGGAAAGGAGATCTGTATTGTACTTTCAAGACTTTTGAAAGGGCCTGAAAACTGAAGTTGGAAATGCTTCCAACTGCTTCAACTTGAAGCATTTGAGCCACTGAATGTTAACAGTCGGCACTAATATGCTTCTGACCTCTGGCAACGTGGCTGAGAAGATAGTCCTGGTTGCTCCTTGTAAGTCGATCTCTGTTGCCTTGGTTGATCTGTGTGCCTGTGCCTGGTCTTTTCCACCATCTCCAACAGTGTACTAGTGTGTTGGTTGGTGCTGAGTAAAGAGGAGGACTTGAATCAGAAGTACTGCTTCTTACAGAATGATGCACGTGCTGCAGCCTCTCCAAGCGTTGTTCCAGACAAGCCTTGCTGAATTTGAGATATGCGATTTGTTTTTTTTCTCACCTGAGGTACTTGGTGGCAAGCAACCATATTTGCTAAAGCAAGCTGGTATTTTCTAGTC